GGACCTGAGTTCAAACCGGTTTTGCCCAGCATGTGATGTCTAGGGCTAGATGATCAGTTTGACATGTGTCTCTGCTTCTTAATACTAAGTTATTCAACTTCTGTACCTATCTATAAAATATTGATTAAATAGCTCTTACCTCTATCTAAGAGTTTCTGTAAATCTATATCACTACTTAACCAGTGGTTCCTTACTATATGTGCTAGTAATCATAGTCAAGAACTTAGAGGAAACTGAACTGGGTATGGGTATAAGTGGATTAACAGCTAAAAAATATTTTTCATGTCAGCTTCATATTAACATCTGCTTCCCAAAACATCCAACTGGAAAATAGGCAACTCTTTTCTGAGTTTGCAGGAAGGAGTTGACATCTGAACTGAAATGGGGCTGGGGAGGTAGACTTGTATGTATGAGGCTCTGGGTTCGATTCCTCAGCACCATATAAGCAGGCAAAAAAAAGCTGAAAATGGCTCTGTGGCTCAAGCAGTAGAGCACTTGCCTTGAGCTGAAGAGCTGAGGAACAGTGCCCAGGCCTAGAGGTCAGGCCCCACAATTTACCTTCCCCCCCCCCAAAAAAAAGGTCTGCTTAAAGCTGATGCTTGTGGCTCACACCTATAATTCTAGCTACCTCAGAAAGCTGAGCTTTACAGGACTGCAATTCAAAGCTAGACCAGAAAGAAAAGTCTGCAAGATCCTATCTTCAGTTAACCAGCAGAATGCCAGGCTAGAGGTAGGGCTGAAATGGTGAAACACCACCCAAGCAAGCAGGCTGGTTAAGCATGAAGCCTTGATTTCAAACCTTAATAGTGGGAAGAAGAAAACAAGGGGATCTGCGTATGTGGCTGGCTCTTGCTGAGTTTTAGAAACTTAGCTGCAAATCAAGAATTTTGTTATATTCTCTGAAATGAGTTGAGTACCTATGTGATATAATAACTTTGTGAGGGGAAGAAGCATGTCTAGTGTTTCTGGATTCCTGTGGTCACCCCTTATGTCTTTTCCTTTTGATTTTGCTCTATATCCTGTGGCTGTAGTAAATTGTAGCTGTGGATACAGCAATATTCTATGGTCTGAGGAGTCTTTTGCATTCTGGTGAATCATTGAACATGTAGTGGTATTAAGAAAGTTGGCACATAAAATGTAACAACAAATCTCACAGGAGGTCTAATGATTTCTTATTATCAAATGTTCAAGAGTTCCTGAATTGTCTCATTGAACATATACCTAGAACACTAGGTCTTGGTGACTCACATCTGTAATCCTAGCTACTCAGGAGGGTGTAATTGAGAGAAATGGGGTTCAAGGCCAGTCAGGCAATAAAACTTCATGACATCTCGATGAATAAAACATTGGGCACAGTGGTATGTGCTGTAGATCCCAGCTGTACAGGAAGCCTAAAGATTGCAGTCCAGACGGGCTCAGGCAAAAAAGTGAGGCACTTTGAAAAATAGAAAGCAAAAGGGATTGAGGGTATGACTCAAGTGGTAGAGTATCTACATAGAAAATACTAGGCCCTTGGGGCTGGGAAGGTGACTCAGTAGTAGAGCGCTTGCCTTGCACGCCTGAGGCCCTGGGTTCGATTCCTCAGTGCCACATAAGCAAAAGGAAAAAAGCCGGGAGTAGAGCTGTGGCTCAAGTGATAGAGTGCTAGCCTTGAGCTGAAGAGCTGAGGGACAGTGCCCAGGCCCAGAGTTCAGGCCCCATGACCAGACACCCCCCCCCAAAAAAAAAGTACTAGGCCCTGAGTTTAGACCCTAGTACTGGAAACACAATCCTCCCCTTTCCCCCATACACACTTAGGGTGATGGCATGTCTGTAATACCAGCCCTGAGGAGTCAAACAGACACAGGAAAGTTATAAATTGGAGGTTAGCTTAGACCAGCTAAGCTTTACATACTATGAGCTGGTCTCAAGTAATAACAATGAAACAAAACTATATTCGGAGTCTATATATTTTTTTAAAGTACTTTCATTCTGAATGTCTTTTAGTAAATTTAGGCAAAATGAGACTATTTTTGTTATTGAAGCATATTTTTTGCTGTTAACATTTTTAAAAACACATCGTGATTCATATAATCTTATAACACATTACAACTGAGAAAAAGAATCCTCATCTAAAATAGAATTTTTCTAAATATCTTAAAAATATAGCTAGAAATTTAATTCACAACTCTATAGTTACAAAAGGTCTAAAAGATGTAGTTTTAACTTCATTTTACAGGCTGAGAATAATGTGGCTATTGTTTTACTAATCCATGTGAAACAATATGTATATGTAAATTGGCGTTTAAACACCAGATGTTGGGCTAATGATCTCTATATTTAGGTCTGACCTTTAAAAAGTAGGATTGAAGCTGAATGTTGGTGGCTTGCTTCTGTAATCTTATTTACATGAGAAGCTAAGATTGGTAGGATTGTTGTACCAGGTCAGTCCTGGCAGAAGAGATCCTGAAACTTCATCTCCAGGAAGCGAACACTGTAACATGCACATATGATCCTCTAAATGATTGGATTCTTGAAAGCAGGTGGGCCCTGGCTCAGGTGCATGCCCTGTCCTAAAAATAATCATTGAAAAACTAGGGCTGAAGGCTCAACAGGATCATAATAGTTCTAGCAAAACAAACAACCAATGTAGGAATGAAATAGAGAAGACTAGAACCACGGATATGCAGTTGTACTTGCCAAGGTTCCTCTTAGTATTATTTCTATTTAATATTGGCAAAAATCTACTAATTAGTGACATTTACTTCATTCTGTACTGTTGTAAGCATGCAATATATGAGGGGTAATTACCATTAGATACATTTTACAGAGGAGGTTTAGTAATGTTCCCAAGGATATACGGCAGCAAGAAGTTAAATTAGAAATCTAAACGTAGGCTAGCTGAAAATAGAATCCATTTTTAGCAATGACAAAAATAATAGATCGAAAACCTTGTTTTGTGAATTGAAGGAAATTCAGTAAAAATAATGTTTCAAATTGAAAAGTTTATTAGAAGTGGCAAGGACAATAGTCAAGGAGTAGGCCTCTTGTAGACAATTTGGATTTCTTCATGGAATTAAGGCTTAAAGTAAATTCCAAAATCTAAACTCTGGTCCTGTATCAAGTAGCTTAGCTTTTCTATATCAGAACTAGGTAAAAATAAGTAACATGGCTTCTTTTAGGACTAAAAATGTTGTCATCAATTATTCTCTGAGCAGAGTCTGATTGGTTGAACAGAATTAAGGCCCTGAGAGAGTAAATGGACCAGATAGTCTCTGATGCCCCCTGTCAATAGAAATTTCTCCTCCCAATTAACCGTAACTTAGGGTCTGATTCAATTGGATGATTGAAGATCCTATTTAGGATTAATATCTGTTCTAAATGAGTTGGGTATTTGAGGAACTAGGACAGTTTCCATCTTTAGACCAGTTTTTATTTAAAGCAGGCCACTTAAGAATTGATGTTTTCTCCCCTTTCTGTCTTGTTTAATATTGTCACACCAGAGTACAATATTATTTATTCTGTTCCCATATATTGTTGAGCTTGAACATGTATTAGAATTACTGAGAGCATTTGTAGAAGTAGAGAATGGGGCCTTATTGCCAGCTTTTCTGATTGTTTCAAGTGAAGACTGAGAATGTTGCATTTCTAATACATGTCCAGAGGGTGCTGATAGTGCTAGTCTGAGACCACACTTAAGGATCTATATCAGTTTTGCCTCCCTCAATAGATTGCATTTTAAAAGAACAGGAACCAGATGTTACTTGTTTTTGTGTACCCATACTGTCTTAAAGGCAGCACATCTTAATTTTATCAAAACCACCATGGATTGTTAGTTACATTAATGTCTTTGGCCTGAGAATAACAAGAAGTTACGCTTAAAATCTCAGCGCCTTCTATAACTCCAAAAGGAAATAAACCTAAGACTCTTACAGAAATTCTTTCACATGCTTTTGCTCTCTGATCCATGTAAACTTCTCTGGGAGGAGGTTGTTTGCTTGTTTTATTTTTGTTTTTAAACATTACTAGGGCACTGGTTACATTTAAAAACTCTCCTTGGGAAAATGGAGGCTGTTGGAGCATGCTAGGTTTTTATTCTATATAAGCAAATGTTAGAGCTTGATGAACCTGTTCCAGGAGAGGCCAACATCTTAAAGACAAGGTCTCATTTGGTATCCCAGGCTGACCTTAAACTTGATATAAAACCCAAACTGGCTTCTAATTAATTGGTGTTCCTGTATCAACCTCTTAAATGCATTATAGAGAAATGTACCACCATGTTCAGCCCCTGTTAAAGTAATTCTTAAACTTGTGTTTAAGTATGTGCTTTACCACCCTTCCCACCTCTATCTTAAGGTATTAGTTACTTCCTAAGACTTTTAATAGGAATTACTTTATTCTGGTAATTAGAATCATGTATGTGTGTATCATTTAGTATATTAAGAAGAATATACGAGCTCATTCAGAATATCTAGATTATAATAGAGAGACTAGATATGTTACTTATAGTGTATTCTAGGGAAATAACAGTCTTCTAAAAGTTGGTACTATACTGAGGATTGAGCCTAGAATCTCATAGACAAATGCTCTACCACTTAAAATTCATCCCCAGCTCTTTTGTATGCACTTTATTTTAAAAACAGAGCTTGCTGCCTTTGTCCAGGCTTACCTGGGACTGCCAGTCCTCCTGCTTCTGCCTCCTAAGCAGGTGGGATTATAGGCATGTACCACCATACTCAGAGGATGATGATTCTTTGAAAACATGGAATGTGCATTTACCTACCATTCTGTAAACCATGAAGAGAGCCATCTTTCCAAGGCCCAGTGACAGGAGAGGACTCTTGCTCACACTGCCAGAAACCCCCATGAAATACAGCAAGCACTCCTTAAGACTTCGCAGCTTCTTTTACTTTATCTCCTAGATGTCAACTTGCAAATTAGGTTTTTCTATAAATTGTATATAATTTCACTCATCTTTGATAATAGTCATAAACTATGTTGTATGGTTCTTTTCTTTTAAGGTATCCAGAAAGTGGCACCGTAGAAATGAATGGTAAGGATCTTCGTCCACGAGCTAGAACCATTTTGAAATGGAATGAACTGAATGTTGGTGATGTGGTAATGGTTAATTACAATGTAGAAAATCCAGGAAAAAGAGGATTTTGGTATGATGCAGAAATTACCACATTGAAGACAATCTCAAGGACCAAAAAAGAACTTCGTGTGAAAATTTTCCTGGGGTAAGATTCTCTTCATTAATCATTTAATTTTTCAATTAAGGCATGCATAAGAAAGTTGGAATCAGGGGGCAGGGGGAGGCTGGGAAGAAATGGGAAGGGGAAACAAAGGAGGAGGCTACAATGCTTGATAACAAATGTACTCATTATCTTGCCCATGTAATTGTAACCCCTCTGTACGTATTTTCACAATAAAAAATAAATAAAAATTTAAAAAAAGAAAGTTGGAATCAGCAAAGACATTTCCATATTCTAAGTATATTTCCACAAATTCTTAAGATTTTTTTATTTGAAAAAAATAGCATAGGTTTGGAGAAAGGGGGGGGGGTAAAAAAAATAGCATAGGTGGGCAACAGTGGCTCACTCTGGTAATCCTAGCTATTCAGCAGGCTAATGAAGATTGCAGTTTGAAGCCAGCCCGGGCAGGAACATTGGTGAGATTCTTTATCTCCATTTAACCACCAGAAAACCAGAAGTGGTTATGACTCAAAGTGATAGAGCTTGAGCCCTGAGTGAAAAAGCTCAAGGACAGACAGCATCCAGGTCCTGAGTTTAAGCCCCATGACAGGACCCTCCCTCCCCCAAGAAAAACTTAAATCTTTATTTCTAAGGTTAGAGATATTATTTGGAAGAATCTTGGAAGTAACTGGTTATCTTATTAGAGAAATCATTATTTGCATCACAGGAGTGTAGTAGACATTTTAATAACTGTGTTAGTATACTAGTGATATGCATAATAACTATCTGCTGGACTTAGTACTGGCAAAAGTTTTCTTAATTTCTCTTAAACTTACAGAGCTTAAAAAGTTTTAATAAAGAGAAATCAAAATGTGAAAAATTGACCTGAAATACCAAATCACTGATACTTCTCATTATTATTATTATTATTTTGGGTCAGTTGTGGGCCTTGGACTCTGGACCTGGGCACTCTTCAGCTTAAGGCAAGAACTCTACCACTTGAGCCACAGAGCCACTTCCAGTTTTCTGAGTGGTTTATTGAAGATAAGAGTCTCATATACTTTCCTGCCTGGACTGGCTTTGAACCCTGATCCTCAGTTCTCAGCCTCCTGAGTAGCTAGGATTACAGGCATGAGCCATTGACGCCCGGCTTCCCAGACCTTTTTCTTAGTGATTTTTTTCTTACATATTTTTTTCCCCTGAAATTCCAGAAGTGGAATATGACGTGGCTGCTGGCTGCCCTAGACCCTCATCTGTGCCAGGACAGACCCAGTAGCTCTTCTTCAAAGTGTGAATGCCACTGGCTCCTATCATGACACAGGCCCCCTAAGATACTGTTTTTGAAAGGCTTTAAGATTCATGCCCTCTTGGGAGGTCCCAAAGTAGGCTTTCACATTTTCTCCCCAGTCCTCCTGAGTGAGTCCTCTTACTTACACCTCCCGCATAGCTGGAATAACAGGCATGTGCCTCTATGCTTTTTTGTTGAAATGGAGTCTTACTTCTTGCCAGGGCTGACATTGAACCATGATCCTCAGATCTCAGCCTCCGGAGTAGCTAGGATTACGGGTGTGAGCCACCGTGCCTGGCTCTCATTAATTCTTTAAAAAGAATACTCTCAGAGGGTTATCTGAAGTGATAAAATAGTAGGCATTGTTTCACAGTTAGAGTTTTTTTGTTTTGTTTGGTTTGGTTTGTTTGTTTCCTGGTACTGGGGCTTGAATTCTGGGCCTGGGTGCTGTCCCTGAGCTCCTTTTGCTCAAGACTAGCCATCTACCATGTGAGACACAGTGCCACTTCTGGCTTTTTCTATATTTGGAGATAAGAGTCTCACAGACTTTTCTCCCTGGCTGGCTTTGAACAGCAGTCCTCAGATCTCAACCTCCTGAGTAGCTGAGATTATAGGCATGAGCTGCCAGTGCCCTGCCAATTAGCTTTTATACCTGGGAAATTTTTCCTACTATCTGTCTGCTTCTTATGAATAGGTTATTGTCTACATACTTGCTAATTTGCTATTTTTAAAAAAGATACTTTCTGGGGCTGGGAAGGTGGCTCAGTGGTAGAGTGCATGCCTTGCATGTGTGAAGCCCTGGGTTTAATTCCTCAGCACCACAAACACAGAGAAAGCTGTAAGTGGCGTTTATGGCTCCAGTGGTAGAGCGCTAACATTGAGCTTAGGAGCTGAGGGACAGCGCCCAGGCCCATGACTGGCAAAAAAAAGAAAAAAAGATACTTTCTACTTAACTTTTCCAGATCTTTATTACAAATTTGTTACATTGTTGTGCATATCTTTTCTTCCTAATGAATTCTCAGTAGTGTTTTTTTCTATTGAGCATAAAGGGTTTTAGCATGATACTAACATACTTCTCCAACATAAGAGGAACAGCCAGATTTATATACTTGTCAAATTCTGCTAACAGGAGGAACACTTTATATATATTAAAAATACAAATATTAAAATCATAAATTAAGCCAAGTGCTACTGGTTCACATCTGTAATCCTACTATTCAAGAGGCTAAGATCTGAGGATTGTGGTTCAAAGCCAGATCAGGCTGGTCAAAGTCGATGAGACTCTGGTCTCCAATTAACTACCAGAAAATCTGTAAGTGGAGTTGTGGCTCAAATGGTACAGCAGTAGCCTTGAGCAAAAAACCTCAGAGATAGTAGTACCCAGGCCCAAGGTTCAAGCTTCAAGACTGGCATAAAAAATAATGAATAAATAAATAAATAAAGGATAGGTAAACTATGGTCTGCTTGCTACTTGCCTTTGTAAGTAAAGTTTTATTGGAAACACAGTAATGCCTGTTTTATATGTTTTCTGTGGCTGGATTTGTGCTAAACAATATTATTGGATAGTTACAACTTGGACCATCAACCCTCAAAGCTTAAGCTACTTAATGTTTAGCACTACACGTAAGCAGTATGCTGGCTCCTGCAATGAAGAAAAAGAATGTTAGATGTTGAATACAGGTTATATTTTATGTATGTATGTGTGTGTGTATGTTTGCATACATGTATGTATGCATGCATGTGTGTATGTTGTGATATTTAATATTGAACCTTATATTTTAGAAAACATTTCAGAACTTTTTACAGACTTCTAAACAACTTTAAATTCTGATATGAGTACAAATTCTGAAGAAAAAAAAAAACAAGTAGTTTGGGAGCCCTATAATGTGGAGCACAGACTGCATGAAATAGCACATGCACACAACAGGACATAACAATACTCATGGCACTAAACTAAAAAAGAAAACAAAAATATAGCTATTTAAATGAAATTCTCCAAGTGATTTTAAGATTATAATAGCTTTGGAGACTAGCCTTTCAAGATTAAATGGAAATGATAGATAGGCAGGTGTTGATTGGTTAGTAGAGAGGCTGGGAAGTGATAATTATCCCAATAGTAAAACACTGTCCTAAAAATTATTGTATTCCTGTCTTTAAGTTTTTGCTACAAGTGATAAGGATTTACTGGTCAAAAATGAAGGTAGTGTGAAGCTTGTGTGACTGTACCACTCAAGCCATGCTCCCACTACTTTTTGCTTTAGCTTTTCATGTAAAGTCTCATGCTTCTGCCCAGGCCAGCCTTGAACCACATTCTCCTAGGAGCTCCACCTCCCACATAGCTGGCATTACGTTGTCCATGTCAGCCCCAAACTTTAGTCTACATTCTAGTATTTAATACCATGTACAATTATAATAGTTTAAATTGTTTACAAACTTTGAATCCTATAACAAAACAATTTATTCAACCTTAATTGTTCACAAACTTTGAATCCTATAACAAAATTTATTCAGCCTTATTTAGATGTACTATAGAATTACTTGTACTGAAGAATTACTTGTTGTCAATATCAGGTTTGTAAGTTTTCATTTGTTTACTGAGTTATCCATGTTTCTTTATTGCATGATCTCTTCATGGTGTTATCACTACATACTATTGTTATACTGTTCCTATTTTATGTTGAAGTTATAAGTCAGAGTTGAAGTTATGAAGTTCTAAGTCAAAATTGACTGTGCTCAGCCGTGCTTTTATTTCCATGTTGCTTAATCATGTTGCTTAATCTCTTACTTGCCTGGTAAAAACCTTAGAGACTGTCATTTTACTTGTTTTGTGTCTTGTTTTTCAATTCTCTGTTCAAATGTCACATCAGAGTGGACTTCCTAAATACCCTGTGTAAAATAAATAACATATATACATATGAGATATGGGTTACTTGAATTCTCCTTTAATCTTATGTTTTATTTTATTTTGTTTTCTTGTGCCAGTCCTGGGGCTTGAACTTAGGACCTGAGTGCTGTCCCTGAGCTGCTTTTGCTCTAGGCTTTACCTCTTGGACCACAGCTCCACTTCCAGCACCTTCCCCACCCCGGTTTTTTTTTTTTTTTTTTGGTAATTTATAGGAGATAAGAGTCTCATAGACTTTCCTGCCTGGGGCTGGCTATGATCCATGATCCTCAGATCTCAGCTTCCTGATTAGCTAGGATTATAGGCATGAGCCACTGGCACCCAGCTTACCATGACTTTTTAAAAATAGTACCTACTATCACCCAACTTGTCTCTTTTAAATTAACTGTATTTAAACAATAAACTGTATATTAAATAAACTGTTTCCTATTGCTGCTATAACTAATTACCACACACATGGTAGTATAAACAGCAACACCCTTTACTTTACAATTCTGGAGGTCCTGAGACTGAGTGGGTTTGGATACTGGGCAAACATCATGATATAAGCAAGGGTATTCATGTTTCAGAGACTCTGAGGGAGAATCTGTTTTCTTGCCTTTTAGAGGCCTCCCCCATTCCTTGGCTTGCGATTTGCTTCCTCCATCTTCAAAGACAGCTACTTTTCTTTTTTTTGACCATTTCTTTGGTAGTCAAGGCAGGACATTGGCAGACATTTGGAATGCCTCCAGCATAGAGCCTGTTTTTACCTTGGACTTTGGCTAGTTGCTGGCTTCTGGTGGATAGGTCGTTGAAACATTAGAATGTTTTGCCATCTTCCAAGGCAAACATTAGGTTTGGGGATCACTGATATAG